CTAAACTGGAGATATAGCTCAGTGGTGGCATGTCTCGAAAAACAAAAAAAAAAAAAAAAAAAAAAAAGAATGTGGGTAGAAAAAAGACAGACCACATGACTCCTTAAAGGATTTGTTTAGAGAAACTGGTTGGTGGAAATGGGAAAGACTTGGAAATTCAGGATAAAAATATGGAGAAAAAGGAGCTTGAATTCTTTATGCTCTCAATAGTTCATTCTCCTTTTTTAACCCTAAAAAGCCTTACTTTTTCTTTCATCTCAAATTAAGGTTTTAAAAAATGCCAACTGCATAAGTTTCTTGGAAAGAGTTCATGAGATAACCCAAACAGCTATACTTAACTGCACTACAGACAAGTTGCCTTCATTGTACTAGATGTAAATGTAATTTTCATAATCACAATTAAAAGTTAAAGAATAGAAACAACATTTAGGATAGATTATGTATGAGATGGGCTAACTACCTACTCTCTCCTCCATATAAAAAGATGTATTTCTAGACCAAAACATATTGTCTAAACAAACACTATTGCTCCTCCTACAGAAAACCCATCATCAAATCATGCTAGCATAATGCCAACACATCATGCTGATTGTACTCAGCACAGTACATCTATAAACCTTACTATTTGTACTGTGAGGATATTACCATGAACATTTGTTATTAGCCTCCATAAAGAACTTTTTAAGAGGCCTCTAGATGAACCCCAGTCCAGATCTAATATAAAAATACTAATACTTGTCCTTACATTAGAAGCTGGAGGCAGATACAGATTTACTATTTAGCATCAAAGGAACAAGGCAAGAAGGAATTCCTGCATTCATCTGACATGTTCATTGAGTATCTGCAGTATATTATACACTCCAATAAGATCCAGGAATACAATAAAGAATACAGGAAATATTATTGCCTCCCAGACATAGGAAGGGAATGATGGCACAAAATGAATGAGCCAGATCTCCTTCAGAGCTCAGACCTGTGCATGTAAAACTAAGTTTGAGCTAAGAGAAGAATGGGAGGTCCTGACAGGGGAAATTCATACTCAGTGGAAATCAGGAGAACAAAGTAACATAGAAAGCGGAATCCTGAGAGTGTCCATTGCATGCCAGAACTGGTCTCTTCATGCTGCCTGCCTCACTGCAACAACTCACATGTATGAGGTGATGTGCAGCTCCATGTGAGTCATTTCAGAGGCTCCCGAGGAAGCTGGCCTGACTTCATGACTAAAAACTCACAGGGAGAAGAGACTGAAGAGAAAACAAAGCAAGCGCCGGAGCCATTTGATATGAAATCCTAGGAATTTAACTCATCACACTGAGCCGCGACTGTGACCCTACTGATTTATTTCAACTGCCGCTTAGGTATGAATGGAGAGGGGACCATGCCAGGGATTTCTTCAAACTGAATCTTAGTTTGGAGATATGCTAGGAACCCAAGGCACAGAACCAAATATCCAAGAAGAATCCTGGCACAAATTAGGCAGAGTCAAGAGAGCAAGAGTTTTATTGCTAGTTTTTTTCGTAAGAGAAAATGACCTTTGAGGGTTGAAGGCTCAGAGCAACTCAATGGACTTGGTACTTCATGTACTTAGTGTAATAACAGCAGTAGCCAACACTTATTGAAGGTTTAGTTTGTGCCATGAACTGTTTTCCATGTGTGAGCTACCAGCAACTTCATGAAGTGGGCAATATTGCCATTTCATAGCTGAGGTAAGAGAGAGAGAGAGAGAGAGAGAGAGAGAGAGAGAGAGAGAGAGAGACTATAACATTTCAGCCTGGATTTATTTTGTAACGTATGGATTATTCTACATTCCAATACAAGTCACTAACTGAGTATACTTCAGATTCCAACCCTGACATGGCATCCTTATTCAGAGAGTGTCCTGTATGTAGCATGATCATTCCCAGAGACCAGAACTGTGACCTTGTACTTCAGTCAGTGGCCACATGCCCCAGACACTACCTTTGTGCTCCAGGAAAACACAATTTTGAAAATTACGCCATAAACAATGAAGTTTGAAGACGTCACGTGGCTACATTCTAAGTACATCAATGATTTCACCTTATTTTCTTTATTTATTAAATATAGAGAGGCTGAGTCCATCAGTGACAGAGAAAGTAAAAGACTTGGCTCTTACGTGGTCAGTTCTGTCTGAACCTCTGGCAAAGATTCTCTTTACAATGGAAAGATAATTCAGTTTCCTCTTACTCTTTTTTTTTTAATTGAATCTTTATTGTATGTGAAGTGTTTGTCTTCATGTGTGCAAATGTACCCCATGCATGCCTGGTGCCTGCAGAGGTCAGAAGGCACTGCTGGATCCCCTTGAACTGGAGTTACCGGCGGTTGAGAGCCGCCATGTGTGTGTGAAGAACAAAACTCCACCTCGGTCCTTTGCAAGAGCATGGAGTGCTCTTAACCACTGAGCCATCTCTCTAGCCCCCTCTTACTCTTTAAATCGTCCTTGGAAGGAAGTTTCCATAGAAACCTAATAATATGCAGAACTGTGAGCAAATTCTGTACCTCCACCCTGGCTTCTTGTCATCAGGCAAATTGTCATTGGCTTTAATTAGATTTAATATTTAATATGCCACAGAAAAGCTCAGCAAGGGAAATGGACAGCAGAGACTGCACAGTGTGTGTGGGCTTACCCTCACATGCCCAGCACAGCCATGCGCTAGAACTCTAACATCACCAGACTGGGAGAAGGAATGCCACGCATATGGAAAGACGACGCTACTGCTGCTGCTGCTGTCCAAAAGGGAAACGTGGGTGGGGGAAAATCATTTAGAGAGAGTGAGGGAAAAGAGAAAATGATCCCAAATCTCCAACAGCTGCAAATAAGTGAATCTGTTACCTTGGATGAACTCTGATTTCCTGCTCACAGATGGCAGGGTCCTGTTGAGACCCAGAATCCTGTCCAGGTGGAAGGCAAACACTTCACTCATGTCCAGGGGCTGCTTGAGTAGCCCACAGGGGCTAGGCCCGCAGCCAGGCACAGAGCCCGAGGTCCTCCCTTCCAACACCAGCAAGCGGGCACCACTCTTAGAGAAGGATGGCAGGATGCTAACCACCTCACCATCAGCCAGCAGGCGCATTATGCGGATGTCTTCTTTGCTCAGCCATGAGGGGGCGCTCTCACTGTAAATCCTGATGTTGCTCTCTCGCGTCCCAGGCTGCCGCAAATTTGAACCCCCAGTTCTGATTCCAGGACCACGCAGCACCCTCCAGGGTCGTTCCCCAACCTTTGTCAGGTAACCCTGAACATAGGCAGGTACTTCGGCATCTGCTGCCGGTACAGCATCCTGCAGTATAAAGGATGGTTTAACCAGCACCTCCTGATCAGGGGCTACAGATGCCACTGCATACTTCTTCCTGCGCTTGGGTTTCACCGTGCCACGGATATTGGCAGGCTTGCTGCGCTTGGAGCGCAGGGTAATGTACACCACGTTGGGTTGCAGGGTGCTCCCATTGCCCTGCGACTCTGGAGGGGCCAGGGTACCATCCAAGGGGATCTCCGGGAAGGGTACCTTGAAGTTGTCGCGGCTGTGGGGTGGCCCCCTGTCCGTGGCCTGCCCATGCTGGAAAGAGGCCCTGCCAACCTGGCTCACCAGGAAGCCCAGGTAGATGGCACAGGCAGTGCCCAGTAAGAGGTTCCGTCTGGTCCTGGGACGCCGGCTGCTCCAGAGTTTACACAGTCGAGGGACGCACAGGGAGCAGACAAACCAGTTTATGAGCTGCCCCGGCTTGTCTGGACAGGTCATTTCTCTGCCGCTTCCACATGCTGAACGGAGTTTAAAGTCTGCAGCTCGTTTCTGGTGACATGATTCATGGCTTCCTGAATCCAGCCGTCCAGTCCGCTTCGGAATCTAAGTCGTCTCCAATGGGCAGAGGTGAAAGAGAAGGGTCGCTGCTGGCGCTGGGAACACTTGGGGCACCGGCCACCACGAGCCTTTTAAGCGCCTATCAGCCTTCCTCAGGAGACAGAAAGGCTGACTCTGGGGATGAATGGAAACAAAGTTGACTGAGTCACCATCTCAACCCATTTCAGTTCCTCTGCAGGAGGAAAGAGGGGAGTAACCCTTTCCTTCCATAAATACTACCAAGTTTGGTGTAAAAGTTTAAAACATGGAAACAAGCTAGGTGTGTGAGTCCGATGTCACTTTTAAGTAATGAAAACAAGCTGCAAAGAGCATTTGATGGTTTACCTGACTGTGGAGCATTAAAATGTCATCAACGCCGGCTCCCCTGCACACACCCATTGTGTGATTCAGAAATAACTCAAGACAAGTAATAAACACATTTAAAATTCTTACAAGTACCCTAATTTTTATAAGACATGGATTCACTACTTAGGCAAAAACACCAAGTAGTGAGTTCACATTTAAACATATGCTCTTTAAATGAAATGCCCCAGGTTGTCTCCACAATGTATTTTATTATCTTACATTGGTATTTAACTGCCTTTAATGTCTGTACAGCTTGGAAAGAGAGACAGTTATTCTCTCTCTCTCTCTCTCTCTCTCTCTCTCTCTCTCTCTCTCTTACACACACACAACAACCACAACAACACAAATCCAATTAATGTTTATTTCTTTTCTTTCCACTAAAGAGAGCAGAAAGTAAGAAAAGAATCTCCACATTTTTTCCCCTACATTTTTCCATAGAGGAAGAAACTGGTTTACAAAGAAAAACAACACTTTACTTACACGCTCAGCTCCAGGAAGAATGGAATCCCTGATTCTAATGCACAGAACTTGGAAAGGCTGCGGCATGTGAGGAGAGCATATTTCATGGTCAAGAGTGCTCCACCTTTCAAACATCTCAGCTCAGCCCTAAAAGCTGCCGCCTTCTGACAGGAAGCCCCAGGGATTTGTAAACTGGCTGCCGCACGGCTTTCAGACACGGGAGGGTCTTTAAAAAAAAATGACTACAAAAAATAAAAAGTAAAATTTAATTCTGAGTTCTCAAAACACTGTCCGGAGTCAGTTTTCATTCAAACAACTTTCTGCCTCTTTCGACCCCTGGGTGCCCTCTAGTGTCTCACTCGCTAACTAGCACACAAGTGTCAGCCCTGGGAAGTGAAGTGGTCTCAAGTGTTTGCAGAGGTTGGTGGAGACCCCACTGCCAAATAAATGCCCTGTAAAGTGAGGAGTGCCGCTGACCTCCGCCTGACCCTATGGAGGTGGGGACCAGACACCCAGAGAACCGGGCCTGCAACTTACCTGACATCTGGGCTGTTTGCGGACTAACCGTTGTCTCCCACCAATTGTGGGAAGACACGGCCAGGAAGTGAAGACAAAGAGAAGATGGGGGTAACGGGAAATGAGGAGGAAAATGGAAAGCTTGAGATAAGAGTCGGGGAGGTGGGATGGCACTTGTGGTGTGCAACTGCCCCCAGCAACCGTACGCAGAAAGCAGCCTGGACGCCTTCTGATTGGAGGCCTTTTAAAAACAGGTTAGTGATTGGCCTGGGTCATTTGCATGTCCTGCCACAAAGGCAAGAGCGGATGACCTTGGGGTCTCACTGGGCTCCTTTTTCTTTGCTTCTGCAGCATATAGAGTCAAGCAAGAAGCCACCAACAGGACAGGGGTGGTTTTCCCTGTCAGGAAAAAGGTTGGGATGTCCGGGAGTGAGGAGATTAGAATATGATGCTTTTTAATCCTAAAAATACCGTGTTACAATGCCAAAAATATAAATAAAAAAGCCAAGAATTTCTCATGCTCAAACTTTTCTTCCTCTTTAGAAGTTCTGGTACTTGTTTAAAAGAGATAAAACATTTCAGGACTGAAAGTACCCTTGAAGTTTTGACAGGCTTCAGCTAAACTTCATGAGACTTCAGGCACTGAAGTCATTTTCTTTATGCTCCCAAATTCTTAAAACACATACTCCATGAACATGGATTTACTTTCTAGAGACTACCTCAGAACTTTCTGACAGGGGCCTATGGTTGAGCTGCTTTTTATAGCTATCTTATGCTTTTCACATATTCAAAAGATTAATTGTCCTAGGTCTCGACAAATGAAAGCCATGGGCTGAGATGTAGCTTACTGAAGGAAGACTTGCCCGACATGTGGGCGATCTTTAGTCCTGTTTTCAACAGCATAAGATATTAAATTAAAAAGTTAAAAATAAATGCTTGGCAGCAGCCTCTTCCAGACATCTTAAAGGCAACTTTACGGGTGCCTGGGAAACAGATAAAGGTTGTGTTTGCTGATAAGTTTGGCTGACTCCGCTCTTCCCTCAAAAGAGTGGTCATTACTGGGAAAGAACAATTCCTCCTCCTCCTTCTGTCGCTCTGGGGGTTAAGCACGTGGTCAGCATAGGACAGGCTAGAAAGGAAGCCAGCATGGCTCTCCCCAGTCACTCGCTCTGTTGTGTCCTGGTACTTATCTAATCCTTTATATCTCCTTCCACAGACAACAGCATTCATCCCGAGAGCTTCCTGCTGTGGTTAAAGGAGACAGAATTGTTGGAAGGACCACCTGGAATAGTTGGTGATACCTTTGTTTTTATCTCCTCCTGTCCACACCCCACTGAATTTCTCAAAGAATCTTCTCCTGAGGCTTGCTGTGCCAAGGCAATGCTGTTATTATAGAATTTGGAACAAGCACAAGAAGTTATTTATGTTGTAAAAAATAAAACCAATACAGTAGATGAGGCTCATGAGATGTAATTAGGAATCAGTCAGTGTATCATTCATTCCACTGTCTATGAGACCTGATCTGGGCCTTATCACTTTCTTCAACGCCCCCCCCACCCCCGCGTGAGACTGCAGGTGGGCTCTAGGACTCCTCTAGCTACACTGGAGGTGGAAGGGTAGGGGTTTAAAGCTTGTCAGTCATCGTCAGTCCTAGATGTATCTAACGTAACTTCTTAAACTGTTTGATTCTATAACATAGTCCAAATCTCTTGATTTCATTTCAGACTTGAATCATGTTCCCTCTGCAGAAGCTATCCTGGCCTCTCAAAAAGTCTGATGAGGAGATGGACACAGTAACACATACATGCCTACAATCTCAGCACTCCGGAGGCTGAGGAGAATAAATTAGAGGCCAGCTTGGGCACATATGCTCTTTAAATGAAATGCCCCAGGTTGTCTCCACAATGTATTTTATTATCTTACATTGGTATTTAACTGCCTTTAATGTCTGTACAGCTTGGAAAGAGAGACAGTTATTCTCTCTCTCTCTCTCTCTCTCTCTCTCTCTCTCTCTCTCTTACACACACACAACAACCACAACAACACAAATCCAATTAATGTTTATTTCTTTTCTTTCCACTAAAGAGAGCAGAAAGTAAGAAAAGAATCTCCACATTTTTTCCCCTACATTTTTCCATAGAGGAAGAAACTGGTTTACAAAGAAAAACAACACTTTACTTACACGCTCAGCTCCAGGAAGAATGGAATCCCTGATTCTAATGCACAGAACTTGGAAAGGCTGCGGCATGTGAGGAGAGCATATTTCATGGTCAAGAGTGCTCCACCTTTCAAACATCTCAGCTCAGCCCTAAAAGCTGCCGCCTTCTGACAGGAAGCCCCAGGGATTTGTAAACTGGCTGCCGCACGGCTTTCAGACACGGGAGGGTCTTTAAAAAAAAATGACTACAAAAAATAAAAAGTAAAATTTAATTCTGAGTTCTCAAAACACTGTCCGGAGTCAGTTTTCATTCAAACAACTTTCTGCCTCTTTCGACCCCTGGGTGCCCTCTAGTGTCTCACTCGCTAACTAGCACACAAGTGTCAGCCCTGGGAAGTGAAGTGGTCTCAAGTGTTTGCAGAGGTTGGTGGAGACCCCACTGCCAAATAAATGCCCTGTAAAGTGAGGAGTGCCGCTGACCTCCGCCTGACCCTATGGAGGTGGGGACCAGACACCCAGAGAACCGGGCCTGCAACTTACCTGACATCTGGGCTGTTTGCGGACTAACCGTTGTCTCCCACCAATTGTGGGAAGACACGGCCAGGAAGTGAAGACAAAGAGAAGATGGGGGTAACGGGAAATGAGGAGGAAAATGGAAAGCTTGAGATAAGAGTCGGGGAGGTGGGATGGCACTTGTGGTGTGCAACTGCCCCCAGCAACCGTACGCAGAAAGCAGCCTGGACGCCTTCTGATTGGAGGCCTTTTAAAAACAGGTTAGTGATTGGCCTGGGTCATTTGCATGTCCTGCCACAAAGGCAAGAGCGGATGACCTTGGGGTCTCACTGGGCTCCTTTTTCTTTGCTTCTGCAGCATATAGAGTCAAGCAAGAAGCCACCAACAGGACAGGGGTGGTTTTCCCTGTCAGGAAAAAGGTTGGGATGTCCGGGAGTGAGGAGATTAGAATATGATGCTTTTTAATCCTAAAAATACCGTGTTACAATGCCAAAAATATAAATAAAAAAGCCAAGAATTTCTCATGCTCAAACTTTTCTTCCTCTTTAGAAGTTCTGGTACTTGTTTAAAAGAGATAAAACATTTCAGGACTGAAAGTACCCTTGAAGTTTTGACAGGCTTCAGCTAAACTTCATGAGACTTCAGGCACTGAAGTCATTTTCTTTATGCTCCCAAATTCTTAAAACACATACTCCATGAACATGGATTTACTTTCTAGAGACTACCTCAGAACTTTCTGACAGGGGCCTATGGTTGAGCTGCTTTTTATAGCTATCTTATGCTTTTCACATATTCAAAAGATTAATTGTCCTAGGTCTCGACAAATGAAAGCCATGGGCTGAGATGTAGCTTACTGAAGGAAGACTTGCCCGACATGTGGGCGATCTTTAGTCCTGTTTTCAACAGCATAAGATATTAAATTAAAAAGTTAAAAATAAATGCTTGGCAGCAGCCTCTTCCAGACATCTTAAAGGCAACTTTACGGGTGCCTGGGAAACAGATAAAGGTTGTGTTTGCTGATAAGTTTGGCTGACTCCGCTCTTCCCTCAAAAGAGTGGTCATTACTGGGAAAGAACAATTCCTCCTCCTCCTTCTGTCGCTCTGGGGGTTAAGCACGTGGTCAGCATAGGACAGGCTAGAAAGGAAGCCAGCATGGCTCTCCCCAGTCACTCGCTCTGTTGTGTCCTGGTACTTATCTAATCCTTTATATCTCCTTCCACAGACAACAGCATTCATCCCGAGAGCTTCCTGCTGTGGTTAAAGGAGACAGAATTGTTGGAAGGACCACCTGGAATAGTTGGTGATACCTTTGTTTTTATCTCCTCCTGTCCACACCCCACTGAATTTCTCAAAGAATCTTCTCCTGAGGCTTGCTGTGCCAAGGCAATGCTGTTATTATAGAATTTGGAACAAGCACAAGAAGTTATTTATGTTGTAAAAAATAAAACCAATACAGTAGATGAGGCTCATGAGATGTAATTAGGAATCAGTCAGTGTATCATTCATTCCACTGTCTATGAGACCTGATCTGGGCCTTATCACTTTCTTCAACGCCCCCCCCACCCCCGCGTGAGACTGCAGGTGGGCTCTAGGACTCCTCTAGCTACACTGGAGGTGGAAGGGTAGGGGTTTAAAGCTTGTCAGTCATCGTCAGTCCTAGATGTATCTAACGTAACTTCTTAAACTGTTTGATTCTATAACATAGTCCAAATCTCTTGATTTCATTTCAGACTTGAATCATGTTCCCTCTGCAGAAGCTATCCTGGCCTCTCAAAAAGTCTGATGAGGAGATGGACACAGTAACACATACATGCCTACAATCTCAGCACTCCGGAGGCTGAGGAGAATAAATTAGAGGCCAGCTTGGGCTACCTAGCAAGAACTTATCTCAAATTAAAGACACACACACACACACACACACACACACACACACACACACACACACACAAGCAAAACAAAACCTATAGCCAGGAACTGGGACCACATCTCATTGACAGAGAGCACTTGC